AAATAGCTTGAAATAGATCTATACTAGTCTATATATATATACACTCTCTCTCTCTCTCTCTCTCTCTCTCTCTCTCTCTCTCTCTCTCTGTGTGTGTGTGTGTGTGTGTGTGTGTCTGTGTCTGTCTCTGTCTCTCTCTCACTCACTCACTCACTCACTCACACTCACTCACTCACTCACTCACTCACTCAAGGAGAAGTGTTGATAATGAGCACCTTTTGGGAAAAACATGCAAGACCTGCCCCTGTCAATGAACTTCCATGGGTATTCCCCAAATGCATATGAATTCTTCTTCAAAGAGCAGTGGGAAACTTACAATATAGCAAGATTAGTTGGGAAGGACATATAAAGAGATTGCAATCGGTGATCATTGCAGTTGTACAAATACTCCTATGGAAATCTCACAGTTCACAGCATCTTTCAGACTGTGCTATGAAGAATAATTGGTAATCACTCTGCAATTGTACAATCATTACTGCTGGTGAACAATTGCTGTATTTTTTTTCCAAGGGGAAGATGTCATATTGCCTTGACAATGGGTTTACTTGGAATGAAAAGAAAAAGATAGAACATCTCTTTAGCTGGTTCATTCTAAAAGATTGTACCCTGGCCAGATTAGCTTTGTACAGATGCCAATTTCTGTAGAAATGGATTCAGCTATCAATCACCACTGATTTGTTCTATTATAAAAGCATGATGCAGAAGATTGCCTAAGCTGGTTTTAAATACTGGTCTCATTCATACTGCTTCCCCATCAAAAGTACAGATTTAATGATATACTCAGATCCACATTTGTGCTCTTGATTTTTGTCTCACAATTCAGAACTTTTTGAGCAACAGCTAATGAAATGACTATGAATCAATTAATGAATTGTTGCTAACCACATGTCACTTTTACAGCCATTCATCACCTTGGATAGCAGCATCTCTTATATCTTTACCAGTGAAGGAATGAATACTATCACAGTACAGGTTTCATCTGGCAACATCCTTATCCAGGACACCAGAAACATTGTTGTGCATGGTGAGTTGACAAAAGGCAATTGAAGAGGTTTGCATGCCTACTTTGCTCAAATCTAAGTTTTGAAATGTAAGATCTGAGAAAGAGGTCTAAACTGTACTTTCATGATAAAATTAAAACATATTTGGTAATAATTGTTTAAAAAAAGAGATATGAGAAAGAAGCAAGAATATAGCACTCAAGACTCATTACATCTTTCAGAAATATTTCAAAATGAATTATTTTGATGATTGGATAGTATAGTATCATAATAAGATCATAGTCATAGTCATGCATCTATCCTACTTTATTGGAGGCGGGGATCACCTTGAAAATTAGCTTTTGGCTTCCTGAATATAGTACCAATCCATCTTTTAAGTTATATAGTTCTAGGAATATTTGAAGCAGTGTACAAAACATATGCTTGTCTTAATCATGCAATCTTTTATTTCTGGTTTTGTTGAAAATAAAATCTTAAACTTCAAAATTGCTGATGTGAATTATTTCTTCTAGATGTATCTTAGTAAACTGAAGCACATTCTGTAAATCAGAGGCATTTGCAGAATGGATCAAGGGAAGGTAGATGACCAAAGCAGCCATTGTTTGCAAGTTATAGAGTATGTTGTGGTATCAGAAATATGAAGGAAAGTGGTAGAGTTTGTATCATGATGAGATACTATTCTCCTAATTTGGGCAATAACACTACCCTCTACATATATATCTGAATCTATCATATATGTCACACTATTTGGAGCACATGAGTGTTTTTGAATGGAGGTGCAATCACAATGTATCATCAGAAAAGAACACTGATGCTTTTGAAGGCTTTTGGAAATAAAAAATTATGAAAATTCACCATATTTAGAACCCCAAATTACTTGATAAATCAAGGAGTTAACTGCACATATTTTTTTCATTCCACTAGAAACTCCAGATCAAATGTTCATGCTGTGCTGTTTTATAAAAGATTCACTTTTGAAGGCTGGAATATGTAAAACTGAGCTGGAACCATGTTTAGTATGAGTGCACATCATACATTCATATATGTGAACACATACACAGACAGAAAGACACACACACACACACACACACACACACACACACACACTTGTACAAATGTACGCACACATATAAAGTATATTATACATATACATACAGATACAAATAATACTCACTCCGCATTTTAAGATCATTTTTCATCAGCTACATTTTAAAAAGTTTCTTTGAAAACAAAAGAAAAATGTAAAGTCTACATGAGTGAATCACAGTGTTCTGGTACTTAACCTTAATCACAAGGTTACTTATGAATAGAGATGAGCGTTCTTTATTTCATTGTCCATTTTTTAAGCTGTCTGTAATATTCAAGTTTTATTAAATTCCAAAGTAAGACATTCTGCAGACTGTCCATAGATTAATATTTATTTATTTTTTAGATTCAGAAGTTAGGAAGGATGCAGAATGACGGAAAGGCTTATTATAGAAAATAGTAGTAGCAAAAACACAGCATCTTCTGGCACGTCTGAACAATAAAAAAACCTCAGAGATGCAACCCAAATAAATTATAAAGAATCCTATGTAGGAGGTATAGAAATCAAATACTCCTTTGCTGAGGAAGAATGGTTTTAGGGAATTGTTGTTAGTGGGAAAGCTTTGAGGGCCAGTTTGGCACAATGGTTAAAGCACCAGGCTAGAAAACAGAAGACCAAAAATTCTACTCCCACCTTAGGCATGAAGCCAACATGGTGACCATGGGCTAGTCATGCATGCACACGTACATGCAAACACACAAAGGCATTTTTTACCTTATGTTCCTGGTATCAAGTAAACAATTGGACCTGAAATGATATATACCACTTTACAGAGAATATTTGGATGACTAAGTGTAAAATTTGGTGTAAGGATTATTTTCACATTTCTAATTCTGAATAAATGTGTCAATTTATCTTTTAGTGAATTGGATATTGTTGACAAAAAGATAGCCAAAAATAATATGCACTGCATTATGTATTGGCACATATTTCTATCCATGTGTATCTTTCTGGATAAAAACATTTTGAAGTTGACATTTTCCTTTCTTCATGGGACACGATTCATTTCTATATGCATTGTCACCCCATCAGCACTTAGAATTGATAAATATAGGGCAATTTAAGGGGTATCTCATAGGCTATGTAAGTATGTTTGGAGCACCTCTTTGAAAAAAGTTAAACTTCATTTATATCTTATGAATATTAAAATTACTTATTTAAATGTAATTAAACTGATTTATTCCACAACTATTTATTTAATAGCTTTGTTTGGTTGTCCTCTTAAAACATACAATTTGGTGTTTATGCCTGTACTCAAAGTTTGGAATACTTGGAGGTCCCAATCTGGGGTTTTGCTTCTCTGAACTGAGTCATTAGTGTCAGATCAGGCCACAGAATCTCTGCTTCTAAAGTTCCAATTAGGTTAACATGAAAACACAAAAACATATAAACATATAAAAACATCTTCAAAAATGAAGAAAGACAGTGAAGTATTGGAGAAAAAATAGGAGATGATGAGGAAGAGCAGAACTATCAGCAAAGGTAAAGAATAAATCAAACCAATAAGGCAAGATGTTTACTAAAAGTCAAAAAACTTTTTCTAAGAGAAATGGTTCATTTATGAGACATAAAACTTACATGTAAGTCTACCACTTACATTAGCTTTGCTCTACTGCAAGGATTTAATTTGGGAGTGATTTCTTCATGTCTCATGATATGCTGTACCCTGATTTGTCTGTCACTACCTTAATCTGATTTATTCTGCATTATGTAGTCATGGCAGCACATAAGGCTAACAAACAGGTATCTCTTTGCTTTTGGAAAACAGATTACTAGTACTAAGGATGTGCTCAGTGGAGCACAAAGTAAGTCAAATACAATAGAAGAAAACGCTAGTTTATGGAACTGCTGCTCATTTGATCTTGATCCTGTTTAATTGCTGAACAATATTGATGAAACCAAAAGAATTTAGAATATTAGGCAAGAGACAAATGTCATACAAAGGATTTATACCACTTATACTTCCTGCTTTCTATTTTAATTTTTCTTTTAGTTTCCTAGCAAAATTATTTTTAAAAAAAATCTCCTGTCAATTTATGTGTCTCGTTTAAGTTTTAGATTTGTTTTCCTTTTTCTCTCTATTTCAATTGACTCCCTCTCAGAATCCTCCTGGGATATGGGGTGCAGTCCTATGTTCAAGGTATCCCAAAGCTTTTGTTTCCACACGAGTGCCTCACAAGTGGCCTGAAACCATCTTACATTGCATTCACTTACTGCTATTAAAATGTAGAAAACCTACAAGGTTGATCATGATCCAGTTTCCATTCATTTTCCAATGGAATTGTTTGGAGAGAGCAAATAATATCATCTGAGCATTATAGGAAAGTATGCAAGGGAATGTCAGCTATACAACTTACTACTATCGTGGTTTTCCAAACAGTTTCCTCTATTGGATTAAAAATCCATGAGTTTTGAAAATGAGATGGTAGCATGCTGACAATTTAGACAAGTAGTACTCTCATGCATTTTTCCCTGTAGTTGTGACAGTTGGATGATCAGAAATAAATTCTAGCTCACACATACAAGAGGACATAAGTTGTAGGAACAGCAGGGGAGGAAAGAGCAGTAATTGGAAAATTGGAATTGGAATTGGAAAAGTTTATTTATAGGCCGCCCTTTTCCCTGGGGGGACTCAGGGCGGCTTACAACTCATAGGGAAAGGGGATACAAACAATGACACATAAGCACAATACATAATTAAAAAGAACACAACATTCATACCATTTGGGTGGGGGATGGATTACAATCTTTAGCCACAGGCCTGACGGGGTTATGTAATGGCTTCACCCCAGAACCTGGGACCTGAAATGAGGTGAGAGCCTCATTTCATCCATAGAAAAATGATTCATCAATCACATTTGTGTGATTTGTAAAATTGCATCAAGGAAATGAAACAGGAATAGACCTGGAAACAAGGGAATCCAAATCCAAAGCAAACACCATTTTGAGATATGTCAAATCCAGAGGCAAAGTCCAAATGAAATTCAAAGAACACTAATGTGAAAATGCCTGTATTTACTTATGAATATTATTTGTCACTACTTTTTTTGTAGGGAAGGTGAATAAAATTCTTTTGTTCGAAAGGTTGAGAGTTTATGTATAAATAATTTTTATACTGAATAGAATCTTTTCTATATATGGAGAACATATAGATACACATAATATACTGGAAACTTAAAGGAAGATCAGATACATTTTTATTAAATACATGATAATTTAATGTGGATGGTTGACATACTAGAAACAATTTTCAGCATCTGAGAAAAATGGCAATTTTCTCTAGAACAAGAATGATTTTTAGAATTACATATGCAGTACATTCGCAGCACACATATATACATGTTTATATACATACACACAAATAAACATACAAGATATTTGATAAGTTTTGCACGTCTGAAACTATATGGTACTATAGGGTTTTTTAGCTATATGTAGAACTTGGTTGTATGACTTTATAATGAATGTCTTTTAACCATTCCAATGTAAACAGCTATAAAAGTTCATACTGGAATTTTAGTGTGACACTTCTCGTTTGCAGAATATTTTCAGTCTCAATTATTATCGTTCTCACCCAATTTGGATTATCACAATCCTGATATCCCAGAGTGGAGAGAAGACATTGGCCGAGTCATTAAAGCAGCTTTGGTGCATGTGAGTATCTAGGGAAATCTACCGAATAATAAGCATAATTTTCTTTAAGTTTGAACAGTCTGTACAAGCACAATTCAGGAAAGGAGATTATAATTTTCAATTACACACCACAACCTTGATAAAGCTAGGCTTATCATTCTGATACACACATGCAATTACCTAGATAAATATTGTGTAGCACTTCTCAGCACCCAACAAACCCAGAATTGTTTTCTTTAAATGATGTTTGTTTTTGTTCTGCTTTTTAATTGTTTTCTTAGTACTAGAATGTTGTGCAGTCCTTGAACTGTTATCTGTGCAACCTTTGATGATAAGAAGATACAGTCATTTTGTAGACAAAATATTAGGAGGGATTAATTATAATATACCATTTTTCCAGTGAATCCATGATTGCTGAGTCTGTGCTTGTATGCTTGTTATTCAAGATGGATACATTATCTGTCTTCATGATCAATGCAGCTTAATTTACTCACACAATGATGCTATCTTTATGTTCATTTCTATTCATTTCCATAATTATATTTTCTCTTCCACCTTAGCAAATATTATAGAAATACAGCAGTACAATGCGTATGTTTTTCATTCATTAGAGATAAACTCATTGATTTTTAAAAAGTATAAACCCTTTCATTATTTTTTGCAATTATTATGCAGGCTTTTAATAAACAAATCAATATTATATTGCACCTAATCTTCCACATGATTTTTTAAATTTACTCTGTTTTTTCTACTTAAAAGATATACAATGAAATCCTGATTAACAAATTCAGTGTTGCAAAAAAGATAAAGAAAAGCATCCTATGGCTTTTCCCAACAGAAAATAAAGGAGCTTTGAAAATTACTTTTTTTCTTGCTACTTTACAAAGGAATATGAAAGAGCATTTCTTTTTGTAAACTTGTTTCTGTTCTTTTCAAAACATCTGCCAACAGTGTACTGATCAAAGCTTTCCACAACCATAAGCTCAACCATAAGCACTCCATAAGGCAGTAAACTTTTTTTCCTCTCATCTCCCCTTTGGCAAGATAAACAGCTGATAATGTGTGAGGATAAGTCCCAGGGAAAGAGAGATCTCTGTGGAAATTATTAATACCCCAAAATTCTCCAAAACCAAGACCACTTATCTTTACCCTTATTTGATTTCTGTGCTCCCTCCAGTTTCTGTCTTCATATCAATATCAATAGAATAAAGATGAGTTGGATGGGTTGGTGGGCAGGCAGGCAGGCAGGCAGACAGACATGATACATAATCACAAAAAGATAGAGTACGGTCTTCCAAAATTCTTATTCTCCCCTATCACTTTTCCTGAACTTGGAAAGAGATTTAGGGAATTGCACTTTCAGGGAATTGCAGTCTGCAAACTACCAGGAGCAGAGTAAGATGCTAATATTGTTTGAATTTCTAATTTTAGCTTCAAAAAGAGTATTTTTCATGACTAAAATAGTTTTATCGAATCCAAAGCTGGAAAGAAGGGATAAATTGTTGAAGTACATTACTGAGGTCCCTGTGGATCTCATGTTCATGTTCATGTTCCATGTTCATCTACATGTTCAGTAATGTTATTTGGCCTAAAAATGGATTTAGAATATTCACTAATTCAGAATATTTTATAGCACCTGTTATATATATAGTTTAAATTATTGATTCAATTTATTTCAAATAAGAATTCAATTGATCTCAAATAAGATAAAAGAATAGTATTCAATACACATTTACATCAGGAGTGGGTTCTGGCAGACACTACTGCTGGTTCATTTGTGGGTGTGTCGGGCGGCGGGCATGCAGAGTACAATAAAAATTGCTCTGCGCATGTGCAGAAGCAAAAAACAAGATGGCGGTCCCTGTGGCACTGCCCAAAGAACCCATTCAGGGGAGTGGCAGGCCTGGGTCGCTGCTGGTTCCAGCGATCCAGGCCGCCAAACCACTACTGCTGAATCGGTCCGAACTGGTAGGAACCCACCACTGATTTACATATAGAGCTACCCAAATAGTTTGTGTTTTATTAACATTAATTGTTTTGGAGGTGTATTTTATATGTAGAACTATTACATTAAATGTATTCTTTCATAAATTGTTGAATGAAATGAAAACAACTCTTTTGGTACAATAAAAAGGCATTTTAAAAAAATCTACAAACATATATTGTTATGCATTCCCCTGTTGTATAAGTTATGTTAGAAAGACCATTTACAGAATTTGTGGTCCTCTTTTAGTAAAATAAATGTATACACTGAGAATGACCAGAGAAAAACAACAGTTAAAAAAAGAGATTCCTGTACATTAAAAAAATATATTTTTTTCAAACTTTTATATCCTTGTGCAGTCAGGACTGAATGTTGTTCAGAGGTCTCCACAGCCATATGTTTTCCATAAGGCAATGTGGGAGGATTCATCCTTAGCATGAGTATGGGAACATTTGACATTTGACATTTTATTAAGATTTATAGGCCGCCCTTCTCCCTGAGGGGACTCAGGGCGGCTTACAATCATGAGGGAAGGGGGTG